AATGCGGACCAGACTCTGACACCGGTCGTACAAGGACCTAGCCCTTATTAAATGGCCCGGTACCCCATACTCCCGGAGAACCCCCCACAAGGCCCGCCTTGGGACACAGTCGAACGCCTTCTCYAAGTCCACAAAACACATGTAGACCGGTTGGGCGAACTCCCATGCACCCTCCAGGACCCTGCTGAGGGTGTAGAGCTGGTCCAGTGTTCCACGACCAGGACGAAAACCACACTGCTCTTCCTGAATCAGAGACTTATGGTAAGACTTATTGAAGTAAAAAAAACAACATGTTGCGAGTGATGTCACAACCTCTGCACATGTGGGTTGCTTTAGGGCCATACACTGATTATGATGGTGTTTGCATTTAAATTATAAAGTGAACAATAATAATGTGAAATCTGCAAAAAATTCTAAATTATGGTAATAGCATACATTTACATTGTAATGTTTTTCCGTACTTCAAAAGTCAAGCTGCATTTTGCCCTTTGGAACTGCTCTTCCTTTTTGGAAAGGAAAAAAAGGTGGTTCCTTTAAGGGAAAACAGTTCTGGCTCCTGTCACGTCCTGTTAGCTCAGTTTATTTTTACACAATACGTAAACACAACAGACACACGTGACGTGACCTGGAGACATGAGGAAGAGGGTAAAATTAGGAAAGCATGACATAACCTGCTGTAGCTGCTGAGGGGACGGATCTGACTGTAGCTCAGTGTAAACACACAGCTTTTACCACCTATGTGAAAAGAATACTGTTGTTTTATCAGAGTGGACTTTTGTTATATCCCTCCCCCCACCAACCCCCACCAACCCCCTCACTGTCCAGAACAGATGAACTCTGTGGAGAGCTTTGAGTTTGGACACCAGACACCAAACATGAGCTCTTCATAACTACGTACTAACATATTAAAAATCATCTGTTCGTTTCTGCTAAGTGAATTGCAGCCTGCTGCAGGGTTACACAGACAATCAGGAACATTTGGTGAAGCCTGTTATTTTCCTCCACACCAATGAAACAACCCCTATTATGCAGCACATTAATGGCCCGAGCCTGTCATCTCTTCTACATCGTCAGGCATAATTGAAAACCCCAGCCTTTTAAAATCCCTTTAATTTTGCCAGAAAATGTTCGTCTCACGCCCGGCTCATTACGGGCTGTATCACACACAATATGCAGATATTAACAAACAACCTGTGCGACATGAAGTCAAAGTTCTGTGGCAGGTATTGGATTTGATTGTCGGTGAATGTGTTTGTGTACCGATGCGGCATTCAGCTGAGCGGTTTTGCTTGTCCCACCATAAATTACTGGCTCTTCAGATGTTTTCAAAAGGAAAAAAAATGAGTGATTGTGCTCTCCTTTGCAACAATGAGAAGCTGATCTGTTCCTCCTCTCAGTTAATGATTCCACTCAAAAGTAGTTAGTGCCATTTTTGCATAAATAGATTGTCAACAGTGAAAGATGATATGAAGGCATAAAAATTACTATAGAAAAACAAGAAAAAAACATCACATTCCTGTTAGTTTGTGTGGCAGATTGAAACTTTCAAAGGAGCAATAATGACAATTGTTTTAATATTCTGAATAAATGGACAGCTCTATAATTTGTGCCACATGAAAGAACTCAGGTTAAACTGCTGTCCAAACAAATTCCTTGAAATTTATATGCTTTGACAAGCAGTCTCTCCCCAATTTCCTCCTGACAAATGGCAGATCTGTTTACAGCCGATGATCCCATCAGATTCAAAATTCACTCATCAGCTTGTCTCAGTGTATCTTCATCTCCTCTCCTCATCAGCCCTGTCATATAATGAAAGCTAATCTGAGCAATCGTCCCTTTTTGTCTGCAGGGCTGAAGATCCGTGAAGTGATGATCAACGTGTCCCGTCAGCAGGTGGAGGACTTTCATGGTCCGGAGGATTACTGGTGCCTGTGTGTCGCCTGGAGTCACCTGGGAACCTCCAAGAGCCGCAAGGCCACGGTCCGCATTGCATGTAAGCAGTTTTACATCACTTTGATTCCAGATAGGCCTCACTGTACAGAGGAGAAAAAAAAATCATCAAACATTTTATATATGTGACCCATCATATCAAAATAAGGATTAAGTCAAATTCGGTCAAAATGACCTAATTACATTTTCAGATTCTTGGCTTTAAAAGCTACATTTTGATACCTGGATCATTCTGATGTCATAATTAAATCCATATA